TTATTGTGTTATCCATTCTTACCGACAAAGACTGACACATAGAAGTTCTAACATTGAACGGCAGTGTCGCTCTCTCATGTTGACATTTCGCGAGCTTTTTCATTTGTTACAGACGCTGTGTGAGAGTGTAGCTGTATCGCAAATATCGTGAAAAATACAAAACTGCCTATAAACTAGACACGTGTAATACGGCAGTATTTTAACAAAAGCAAACCTCTTAAAAGACAGTGAATAACTTTGTTGACATACCTCCAATGTTTTACCTAGGAGACAGAGATAAATATATAAGCATCGTATACCGTCTAATATTGTGGAAAACTCATAATTAAAAGATGTATTAAGAGATACTTGACAAGAATTGTATCCTGATAAAACAATGTCTGAAACTTGGAACAACATCAAGAATTGTTAGGACTGGCTAAGGTAGCAATTGACATTGTTATTGATGCACTCTGCTTTGGATTATCCTCAGTTGTTATGATCAAAGAACTGACATCATGAATTGCATTTGCACAAGGACAAACTCCAACTTTATTCTTAAATCATGGAGAATTGCTAAAACTTGCAGTAGTGGTAATGATCTTCATAATTTATCGTTTTATGAAATATATCTTGGTCTATTTGAATTGATCAATCGTTTTAATAATATAATTTTTGTTTCACCATAGCTTCCACCACATAATATGACAGTTTTTCATCTTAAGAATACTATGGAACAACACATGTGTTTATGTTTTATAAGAGAAAACATCTATAAGGTAATAAATTGCAAATATATTTGGATGAAATATGATCTTCTTTAGAACATATTAAACTTCTTTGTAAGAATGAAAATCATATGATACATGGTGTTATAAATTCAGCTAAATTACATTTTATGAGGAAACGTCGAATGTAAAATAAATTGGAAAGAAGTTAATATCTTAACACAACTTACTACCTACTTGTGTTACTTTTTACTTCTTGCCAACATTGTTTTAGTTACTCATAACATTGTCATCAAGAATTTATACGACTTACTAAGATTGCGGAGACTAAGGTAGAAGATATTATTGAAAGTGATCCCTCTGGATTACCTTCAAATGTTAGGATAGAGAAGCTCACATCACAGATTGCTGTTGCACAAGCTATAACTTTATTCCAANTTTAACACAACTTATTACCTACTTGTGTTACTTTTTACTTCTTGCCAACATTGTTTTATTTACTCATAATATTGTCATCAAGAATTTATACGACTGACTAAGATTGCGGAGACTAAGGTAGAGGATATTATTGAAGTGATACATCTGGATTACCTTCAAATGTTAGGATAGAGAAGCTCACATATTGGTGTTGCACAAGGACAAGCTATAACTTTATTCCAAAATCATAGAGAATTGCCAAAACTTGCAGTAGTGTTAATGTTCGAGATGTTTATAATAATTTATCATTTATACATTGATCTGTTTGAATTGATCAATCGTCCTAATAATATAATTTGTGTTTCATTACAGGTTCCACCACATGACACGACAGTTCTTGACAAAGCTATTGAGCAACATGTGTGTTTTGAAAGACAAAACGTCAAAAATAAAATAAGTTGAAAACATATTTGGAATAAATATCATCTTTCTTTAGAACATACTTATTACCAACATGAAAGTATTATGATATATAGTATTACTAATTGAACTGAATTATATTATATGAAGGTGCGTTGAGAAAAAATAAATTGATAAGAAATTAATATCTTTAAACAAATTGTTACTTTTTACTACCTGACATTTTATTTCATTTAATATTCAAGTAACAACAATTCATTTGCGGTATAGCTGAAGTTATACAAATATATGTACTTAATATAAATACAGGAGAATATTTCTGTGAAATGTTTACTACACACTGTAATCTCACTGAAAGTGATTCTGACTTAACATTACTCTTCTGATATATCCAATGGTTCTCACAAGTCAAGTACGCACACTGTATAGTAGTTTACACTGTCTCTTGAAAGAGAGAGCTTCAAAGAGAAAATAAGTTGGAAACATTTGGAAGAAATATAATCTTTGTTTCAAACGTATTAAACTTATTTGTAACGATAAAAATATTATAATATGTGGTATTACAAATTGAAGTACATTTTATGATGAAACGTCGAGAAAAAAAATTAATTGGTAAGAAGTTAACATCATTAAACAAATTGTGACTTTTGTTACATAATGTCTTATTTATTATAATTTTCCAATAATAACAGAGGATTTGCAACGAAGTTGAAATTACAAAAATAGTATGTATTACATATTAATAGGGATGAATATTTCTGTGAAACTTTTATTACAAATTGTAATCTTACTTAATATCATTCGATATTTCCAAGGGTTCTCACAAACCAAGAGAGGCATAAAATCTTCTAACATCATACAAGTTACCTCTGGCGCAGCAGATTTGTTGTGATTTCTAACAATCAATTTCTTCACTTTGAACATTCTATAGAATGCCTCTCCAATCCTCTCATAGTAATTTTTTAGCCTGAGATGCCAAAATATTCCGGAAGCTCTGCTGATATTTTTTCAAAGTCATCCTAGTCATAGATATTTTTATCATACTTAATGTTAAGGCACTTTAAATTTATGAGATTACACAGGTTACTCAGACCTTCGTAATGCAAATCTAATGACGTCGATTGCTTGGAGAATATAATATGAATTATTTACATTGAGTAAGTCGGAAGTACCATCCTTATTTGAACCTATCAATTGAAATCTTTGAACCTCACTTTGCTTCTGCGATGTGCAATACAGTTACATACCGGCCCCGGGAAACGTACCG